CGTGTTTCGACTGGTCGACCGCGCAATGCACAGTGACCACGTGTCTATTTTTGCACGACGAGAAATAGAAAGCTGAACTTATATTGATCTTGTACGTATAGTTATCCTATCGTCTCAATTCATTTTAAAGCCACGCCCGTAAAAAGCTGGTCTTACAAGTACAAGATCAATCGCATTTCAGATCGCCAATTCGGGTCGTGTTTCGACTGGTCGGCCGCGCAATGCACAGTGACCACGTGTCTATTTTTGCACGAAGAGAAATAGAAAGCTGAACTGATATTGATCTTGTACGTATAGTTATCCTATCGTGTGAATTCATTTTAAAAGCACTCCCGTAAAAACCTGGTCTTACAAGTACAAAATCAATTGCATTTCAGATCGCCAATTCGGGTCGTGTTTCGACTGGTCGACCGCGCAATGCACAGTGACCACGTGTCTATTTTTGCACGACGAGAAATAGAAAGCTGAACTGATATTGATCTTGTACGTATAGTTATCCTATCGTCTCAATTCATTTTACCCATAAGTCATTCAACATTATAAATATAGTTGAAAGCATCGGAGTTAAGAATATTATCAAATCTTATTTCAAAAACATGTATACTCAAAGTCAATATGAGAACGGCAATGGTCAAATTACGTCATATAAAGCCACACCAGTAAGAAGCTGGTCACCAGTACAAGATCAATCAGTATTATGGTTGCAATTTCTGCACGCAATACTGAAAGTATATACAAAATTTGCGAACCTTGTCTATTGTGTAGATTTATTCAACTTTAAATACACTCGAACTTTCATCTGCAAAAGAATCCCAGTGTGGCAAAATACCGACAGTTGATTGAGTACCTAAATTTTCTAGTAAAATCTACTCAATACAAACAATCGTATGGCAAATCGACAAATCATATTTAATCTTACCTTTTCTGTAAATTGATTGCTCCGCAAATAACACATACCTTGAACAGAATCTATCTAAATGCTATGTTTGGTGACACACAAACTAAATTTACTTCTTTGTACTTTTTTTTTCAAATCATGACATAGGAAATTTGAGTATATAGATGTTGATTATATATGAGAAAATATCCGAGGCAAAAATTTTAAAAAGTGAAAAAAATCTGTTCATAAAATTCTGTTCATGTGATTCAAATATAATTGGACCAGCCAATTTATATAAAACTGCTTGCCAAAATATACCTTTAGGCATTAAGGTTTGACCAGCATTGTCCAGGTATAAACACATTATAAATTATGTAATGCATTCCAAAAACGTTTCTCACTTGGATTTATATGAACACATTTGATCAAAAGTCTCTTTCTTGCTAAACCATCAAAATTCATCCCCATAAAATACAGTAAGACATCTTGTAGTGTATTACCAACGTTCTCTCTTGTTGCGTTTTGTACCACATCCTATAGAAGTAAGTTCCCTTAATAAGCCTGGCGAAGTGTCTGAAATGTCGGAGGGTGATTTTAACCCACCCCTTCCCAATCCACACTTCCCAACCCACCTCACCCAACCCACCCACCCTTTACAAAAAACACACACACACCCTTCCCAACCCACCTTACCCAATCCAACCACCCTTTACAACCCACCCTTAACCCACCCACCCACCCTACCCACCCTTCCCAACCCAGTGTATGTTGGGTAGGGTGGGTTGGGTAGTGTACCCAAACCACTCACTCCAAGCCAACACACACTATTATACACAATATATACAAAGTACTGTTTAATATACGAGCAGGAGTGTTTTATTAGGTTTAAAGACACGAGCGCGCAGCGCGAGTGGCTTTAGACCTAATAAAACACGACCTGCGAGTTTATTAAACGGCTTCAAACACGACTATACAAATTCAATACATATACCGCCTTATTAGTATTCTTTATATAAAAAATACTAATGAGGACACGACAACAATAGATACTGCCTTATTAGTATTCTTTATATAAAGAATACTAATTAGGAGTGTTTTATCAGGTTTAGCGCCACTGCACGTGACATATTATAGTTGACATGATTTGCCAATAAGCTTATGAATTATTAATGAGTGTTTGAATTAAAGTATACTTACTTCTAGTGTTTCCCCCTTGTCTGGTTTCTTCAAATTCAATAAAACAAGATAAAAATTGGCCACGTCTTTGCCACTCGCATCTACTTTGTTAATCATGCCAAGTGCATCTTTACCTTGTCTGGAGAAAAGCGTATTAGATATATTGTCAATGATAATACGAGTGCTACCATGAGTGCTTTATGTTAACTACAGACGGTTTAACCAGCCTCTATCCGGCCTGTCGTTCTGAAGCATGTCAGCACGTGGAACCCACGTGTACCGTAACCGCTCAAACGTTACACAGTACCCCAGGAAAAGAATAACAGGAGCGAAGCCTGGGACTAAGGCTATGTGCACACGGGCGTCGTTTTCGAGCGTTTTCAAAAACGTTTTTGTCCCTTTAATCGCTTTGATGCCCTGTTCACGTGGTTCAAAGGAAAATATCTCCAATATATTAAATAAACTACAGCTTCAGTCGTAAATTAATAGTTTTCGCATCCGTTTTAGCGTGAAAACGCAAATGAAAACGCTCGAAAACGTTACCGTGTACACGTAGTCTAAGTTGACACCTAACATACCTGACATGATTTTGTAGGTAATGAGCAATTCCCAATAAAAGAATCGCGGCTGAACAACTTGGAACGAGCTTCAAAACCTGCAACAAAGTGGAGTTATAATCAGCCTGCGAGTGTATAATTTCTAATACAGCTTCACGATGGAATCTCTTGCCAGTTACCTCGGTAGAAGCTTCGACAATCAATTCTATCCAACGAGCAGAATCTTTTTGCAGCTAACAAATAATACAAAAAGTTATACTACACGCTGCTTTAATTTTGAACTGTCTGTGACAGTGTAGGTAGTGCCAAATCACTGCCAATAATAACAAGCTTTCGTTAGTAGGGATGCTACAACCTGAAAAATATATTAAGGAGAATTTCGACGTTTCGAGCGAAGGCCCTTCTTCGTTTTAAGTTTTCAGGTAGTTGCATCCCGAAAACTTGGCAATGTTACTTTAATTTACATACCATCGAATCCAAGTTTATTTAGAGTGTAATAAACCAGTTTTAAATTGTGTTCCATTTGAAGCAAACAAATAAGCAAACAAATAAACAAATAAACAAATAAACAAATAAGCAAACAAATAAGCAAGCAAACAAACAAACAAACAAACAAACAAACAAACAAACAAACAAACAAACAAACAAACAAACAAACAAACAAACAAACAAACAAACAAACAAACAAACAAACAAACAAACAAACAAACAAACAAACAAACAAACAAACAAACAAACAAAACAAAACAAAACAAAACAAAACAAAACAAAACAAACCAAACAAACAACATACCATGGCTTGTCTCAGAGCAAGGTGCGCCAAACGGACCAACAAAATAATTTGCCCATGGAACAAGCTACGAGTACATTAAAAAAATAAGTAACATACACAAACTTGTCTTTATTCTAAATCTTCAATATATAATATAACTTTTAACCTTTTCCTACTTGCCAATTGCAAACAATTTTGATAACAAAATTCAGCAGCTTTGATCATTCCATTTTGCTCATGAAACAGTGCGGAAAACTATGAGAAAATGTAGATCAGGTTTGAAAAACTCATTAATCATTCATGAGGAAACCTTAAACCGACTGGCTCTACTAACTCCTGTATTCTAAAAGCTCACTCACTAAAGAGTGGAGGTTCAATCGGAGCTTCTTCTTGAGTGTCAGTGCTGTTCTTGAATAGCTGTAGGGTTAATTAGCGTCATACCTTGTGACTACTCACCCTCCAGCTATTCAAATACAGCATCGATACCCAAGGGAAGCTCAGATTGAACCTCCACTCTTTGAGGAGAATACAGGTGTAAAGCTTCCAGAATTGGCAACATAACATGTGGCAGCCTGAATGTATCTATAAAGATATCTTCAGACTGCGATTATCGCGAGACCACAGCAAGAATGACACCGCGTTGTGCACAGCAAAGATTGTGTAGCATGGCATTTTACTTACCAGCCAAGCGTAGCAGTTTTCCTGATTGACAGCCAACACTGTTGTCACATCTTGAAGACATCTCGAGTTGTCAATGACACAAGAATTGATTTCTACCAACAGCAATTTGATTTTGGCAGAAAATATAGAGTCTGTGTTCCAAAGCTCTAGCGCCTAAACATGTAAACAATAAAATATTTGTATCAATTCTTTTTCACACTATACTGGATAGCTCTATCAACAAGGATGGTTTTACTAAGGGGTGCACATCCCCCTCCCAGCCTTGGCAAAGGAGGGATGCAAATAGGATATCCTACCTTGCCATCTATTAAGCCCCTGCAAATTTGAGCCAACTGCAAATTCACCCTGGAGGTCCGTCTCTTAGTTTTACTTCAGGATAAACCCGGAGTACACCGGGACAAAATTCTTCTCTTATATCTGACTAAGGCAATATTATATTATAATAATAAAAAGAGTGAAAATAGATTAGAAATTACTTTACCTGTTGACAGTGTTGAATAGCCTCATCAGTTTTCCCAGAGTAGTATAAACAATAACCATATTGAAGTGCCAACCACTTTTGACTCGCCTCTGTAATATTTAAATTTCTTCTTTCAAAAACCTCTGGTCTTGACACGAGAGGACAATTTGAAGCTTCGATTACTAGAAAAAACATTTGGAAGGAAATCATATATATATTTTTTTAACAAGTATGTTGTGAGACAACTCTTTTAACCTTATAAATTTACCACTGCACACACAACTACAGTGAGAAAAAGGGCGAAAGGCTAGTTTGCTTGTCCCTACAAGTTAAATTAGCATATCTAAAGATGACCATCACCTGATGTGCTATAATGCCTAACCTACTGAAACTCGCCGAGTTAATTCAAATGAAAAAAATTGATATCCAACCTTTAGCCAAGGAGACGTGCGTGAGCATTTCACAAAGCTGAAGTTTACTCTTCTGAGGTGTACTAGTATAACAAGTGCTTGCATCAGAGAGTGCTGCAGAGAGTAAGGTCCAGTTGGTCAGGCAATCAGGATTCATGTGAAGTGCTTTCTGAGCTGATACTACACCAGGGGAGATCTTGTTTGAAGCAGGTTTGCCACACGCTGGGTCATGTCCACAGCCAATAGTACTGTAAGCATAGGTTGTCGACACATCCTGAAGAATAAGTACCAGAAATATTAAATGGCAAAACTCCCTTTACAAATGGCAAAACGCCCTTTTCAAATGGCAAAACCCTCTTTTCAAATGGCAAAACGCCCTTTTCAAATGGCAAAACTCCCTTTACAAATGGCAAAACGCCCTTTTCAAATGGCAAAACCCTCTTTTCAAATGGCAAAACGCCCTTTTCAAATGAAAAAAATTCCCTTTTCAAATGGCAGAACTCCCTTTACAAGTGACTGGTCAAAATGACAGTTAAGAATTTGACCAGACAACTCCGCAATCTGGCTGGACATTGTCCATTTACCAGCCGTTATTTCACATGCTGAAATTGGGAAATTTTTTCATGTATATTATTATCTGGGTTTATTAGATGACATGATGAAATTTTTCTCATCTAACCTCAACATTTCTGTCTCCGAGTCTGTGAGCGGCTTCTGCACATCTGGCTGCTGCCTGGTAAAATGAAATGAAATTTTTACACATCCTGAATGTAATAGACTAAATGCATTGAAGGCTTTAATTCCACATACTTTCAATTCATGTGGTTGGAAACGAAGGATAAACTTTGCCAGATTGTTCCACAATAAACTGCTGTGAGGTCTCCTGTGGATTTCTTGGACAATGTAACTTTTACCAATCTTTGGACTCCCCTTAAAGAATTCAGATGACTTGTATCAAATTTTACAACAAATTACAGTAAAGTAAAGAGAGATAAATAAATGCTCATAAATAAAACCTCAGACCTGCAAAGCGTAGAAACTTGCAAAAAGATAGCTTGCCTCGGAAATCAAGTGTTCATCACCTAAATTTACATTGAAACATCAAACATGTCAGGCAACTAAACCACAGGCTAATTAAAAGCCTGCTTGCTACTTCAACCGGATCGTATGTATATCTAGCATTTTTTTGTGTCGAAGTCATTCATTCCGCTCTGGTGCCGAGGAAACAAAAAAATACGCTACGTTTCAATTGAAGTGAAAAAAGGCTCAACTGTAACTAAACACACATTCATAGTACTTTTTTGTGTGTGTGTTGGTGTCAAGTAACACCACAAAACAACACATTCATATAGTGTTAGAATTATAGTTTCTCGCTGGCTGAAGTATAAAAGAAGCGAGAAACGGGTTCTCACACTGGGGGGCCCCGGGCGAGGTGCTATGCCCTTATATGGGCATGCGCCTCGAGATAGAGCATGTTTTGTCTTTTGCCACAAGTGTGGTAGTTCCCACCTGCCCACCCTTGTGGTTCGAGACATTGTTTAGGGTTATTAATATTGGGTCTATATGTTAATTTTTTTTTTTTGTGTATGAAAACAATTGTTATTAAATAAAGGCACTGCTACTTTTGCGGTGGCAGACTACACGGCAACCCAGTGTGAGAATACTTATGTATAATACATGCCCATGAACTTCGAGAATGCTTCATGAAAATTTTGTCATAAACAAACCTTTCTGACCAATTTTAACGAGCTCAGAAAGCGCTGCAGCAGCCAAGGTAATGTCGGATGTGATCAAACCCATGGTAGTGAGTGCTAGAAGTCCTTGTTCACTTGCTGGACGCAATTCAGAACTAGAAAATAAAGACATATGAGTTTAAATATTTAACAGGTTAAACTAATTAGCTTGTAAAAAATATGTCGGGCTTTTATGGCTACCTTTCACACAACGCAAATTTGCATCTATCAACATCACCCAATATGTATCCCAGTATTCCCATGGCGGCACGAACATGCGATTTCTGGCCTTCATTTGTTGCAAGTTCAAAAGCTTGCTCGTACACTAATAGAAATAGAAAGTATTTTAATTACGGTGTTGGAGTTGATCCAGTATAAATAAAGTTAGTTTAGTTTAGGTTTCATCCTGTAGTAACACTGGATCAATAAGAGATGAT